TAGAAATAATCTAGCACCACCACGTTACTGGATTATTTAACACATCACTTCCTTCTTCATTTAAATTGTTATGAATCACTCTAATTTTTCTCAACAGCCCTAAGACCAAAACTTTAAGTGGTAAAAGTAAACCTGCTTTTATTATCAAACTGATAGTACTTCATGGAAACAGTCAGAAATTCATGGTTTATAAAACATACTTGTATATATACATGCCTCTAAAGTTCACAGATTGAGAGACAGGTTGGTATTTCAGAGCAGTGATTTTGATAATTGCAAAAGGAAGCACTGTATACTCATGTAATATACCAAAAACAAACCTACATGCATTTCCTAGACAATCATGAGTTCTCAAAGGGAACAAGGAAGTCCATTTGGTTCATGTACTTAATTAACAACCCTACTCTTCATATTACTTTAGATCAAACATTTTCTGATGTTGATGAACTTTCCATTTTATCCTTCCAGCTTTAGCAAGAAGAAAACAGTATGATAAAGATTTTTATTTCTGGAATTTGACTTTAAACAACAAAAAGGGAAAGTAATGCAAAAATAATTAGTATGTCACTTTATAAGTTTAATTATTCTTATTTGAAATCTGATAAAATTAGTATTGTCAGCTCTACAGTTTTATGTGTCCCTTCCACTTCCCATCCTTTGTTGGAAGCAAATTATAAATTTGCTTTATTTGGGAAATTTCTTTGGGAAATTCATCCTGGCTCAGTGATTACATGGAAAGAAGTTGAGAACTTACCTTCTGTCAATACTCAAACTACTTAAAAGCAACATGGTAGTCTTTCAATCATAATAAAAAAGGCTTAAAAAAGTTGTTGCTCCAAAAGTCTAGTGGGAGGGTGGCTTAAATCCATAGTCCAAAAAGCATTAAGATGCAGAAACTATTACCCCACAGAAATCACTCTGATGTACTGTCCCACTGACTCATTCCTTCTGTTTTTTAATTGGGTTGCCTTATATGCGGCTCCATATTCCCAGCTATTCTTTCTACAGTACAAATGGTTCTATACTACCAAAGGGAGAAGAAAAGCTCTCTGAGCTCTACCCCAAAGAGAAATGAGAAAATACTCTATATGATTGTATCTCAGAGGATGTTAGTATCTGAAAAAGAAAGCTAACTTCATTTATCCCACCTCTAGTGCCATTTCTGTAAGGCAGGATGGAAAATGGACTTTAAAAGTGTGTGGGTCACTGTATTCCTTCCCGACTCCCTAGGAAGTTTGTCATATATCCCTGCACACTGCCTGCAGGCCTCTAGAATTACGACTGAGACCCTAGTTGAAGAGGCAACTTGAGTTTTTCAGGGACATGAAGAGTCTGTGACTTTTTCAAATAAAAAGACCAAGAAACCAGAAAACAGTAACTCTACCCTAACAACAGGAACTAGAGTTTTCCAATACTAGCTCAAGGAAAGCAAAGGTATTAAATTATAGTTTCCTCTAGGGCTTACAGTCCAAAGGGAAGTGACTTTAGGTAGGTCAGTCAACATTTATTCCTCAGTGAAAGGAGCAATTTGGGGTGTGATCTGATCTATTCCTTCTTTCCGTAATCAGAAGACTCTAGATCCAACGAGAAGACTGAAGCAGAGAGAACTGAAATCAACTTTCTTGAACTGTTTTGAAGCTATGAACCAAACCTCTCAACCAGACACTGAATTAGAAGCCTAAGTAAGCATAAAACTGATAGGTCTTTTATATATATATCTGCCATTTATGTATAACCTGTGCAAGTAGAATAAACAAAAGGATCTCCTAAGGAAACTCGTGGCTTGGATCTAATATCCTATCCAGGTCAAGATTTTCTTGATCTTTAACAGCTCTCTTACTATACATAATGACCAAGACAAATCTTTTAAAAATATGAAGGAGGAACCAAAAATGTTGCTATCATCCACAACTGAATGAAGAGAGGTGGGTGTGGGAGAGGGTTGGGTCAGGGGGGATAAGGATAGAAGTACACCCCATCAAAGTAAAAGGTTGACAATGTTAAAATAGTCCCATCAGGCCTTTTCAGAAAAAGTTATAACTTGGCTAAATAGCTAAAAAGAGAACACCAGAAAAATGTCGATTTATACTAGGCACTAACAATCACCAGACTTCAATGATATAGTTTAAACCTGTAACAGAAAAGAGTTTAGGGGAAATATCTGTCAAAAGGACTCCATTTCACTCATTAAATAAATCTTCTTGGAGGTCCTTTTCAACTCTCTAGCTCTAAAAACTATAGACTTCAACTACCCTGACCTCTTAAAACCATTACAACCAAAAAGGAAATGTGAGAAAGACCAAATCCATCAATACGCATTTTTCTCAATTTAAGTTCTATGCTTCCAATTAAGCATAGCCTGAGTGAGAATTCATTTTCTTTCACGCTTTTTATTCAAGCACAAGGTTCTATAAGCACACAATGCTTTATCTAAAATTATTGTAAGGTTGAAAAATGCCTGGCAAAAGTAGAATAATTCAGTAAGAGAAAATGACTGTGCCCCTGAAGAGAGAATGGAATCATATTATAGCATGCTAAATATGATTATATGAATGATGTGGCCAAAGCATCATCTATCTGTGGGATACAGAACAAAATTCATTAGAATCATGTTCTCTAATAAGATGCCAAATTACCACACAAAATTGTTAGGCCAGCAAGCTCTCTCCAGTTAGCACTGTTTGTAAGCCTCATTCCAGCTATACAGACCAGAAAGTCAGTACCAGATTTTAGTCACATCTACATTGTCAAGACCAAACTTTTAATTTCTCTTGTGCCACTAAATCACCTAATTTTCTAAAATGTTTCCCAAGGACCAATATCAAAGGTAAGTAGCTATAGTACAAGTTACTCTGTCTTTTCAAGATCCAAATCAGGACTACAATTCACTCACTTTCTCCCCCAATCTACGTATTTTGTTCACTGTCCAGTAGGAAGTTGAGTTTCTCATTATTCACCCCACTACCTTAATATTTCTAACACTTAGCAACTGTTCAGGATAACAAGGGAAATTCCTATTCTCGTTGAAGAATGACAGAAGTAGTAGTTTACATAAATTACTGTAATCACTATGAGCCATTAGAGCCCAAATATCACCCATGGTTGAATCTTAATAGGAAACTTAGAAAGTGTCATTGGTCTATTAGTAAAAATAAGGAAAGGCATTTCTTAAATGCCTTGTAATCATATGACAGGCTAGCCTTTGGTGGGGTGATATTTCTACAGCTCGATTACCCTCCTCTTTACTTCTACAATGTTACAGAGCTTTGTGCAGGAAAGGGTCACTAAACATTGGAAGACTAAGAAAAAATGGATGATTCTGCTTATACTTCCAATCTCCTTTCTTAAATGACCCCTGTACCACCCAAAGCCTAATAAAACTGAAAAGCTTTCCATTAAGAGGAAAGCTTATGGCTACCAATCTTTTACAAACTATCAGTACTTAATCAGAGAATTCCATGGTGTTTCTCGAGTAGAATATTTTCTTCCCTGTCCATTTTAGAGTGACAGATGCTCTATCTGTTACAGGCATGGCTAAGGTTACAGAAACTTGGAAAGAATTTATAAGGTAAGCAAGCCATGTCAACACATGAATGTAAAAGAAATAAAAGTGTCATATGAAAAATGGAGGGAAAAAAGAAAAACCGTTGTGCTCCACCTCGTTTAGAAAGGGAACTCGGTCACATTTATGGGGCTGAAGAGCCTCAATCCCTATTCACCAAATTCCATGTTTAAAAACTGAAACCTGAGCTTCTAATGTAGGAAATTAATTCCAGCAGAAATAACAAACCTCATGGGTTAGCAAGGCTACAAAGTAACCTTGGTTACTTTTTATACTCTTGACATTTAAGATACCAGAAGTATAATCTCAAGGGCCCCCTTCCTTACATCTGTCATGTTGAAATAAGAAAGCATTGAGACAATGACCAAAACCTAGAAAGATCTGTGACATTTCTTTCTAAACTATTCAAACACATCAAAGCCAGAAGCCTATTACTTATTGTAATATGGAGAAATGCAAAAGCACTAAAAAGTAAAAAATACAGGACTCCATCTAGTGCCATTACCAAATGAAAAAAATACAAGAAATATTTTCTTCTAGTCATAATGAGTTATTTGGTGAAATACTGAATTTAAAGGGGGACATTACGTTTGAAATTATCTTTTTAGATAGAGAATTCTGACTCTCGAAGACCTGGGAGCTTTCTTAAAGTTGTGTTCTGACTAAATACTATACCCTTAGTTTAAAGAAAAAAATTTTAATGGAATCTAATCTGCACCTAATCTAATTTCGCTGTCATTCAATAATCAACTCTGAAACAATATTAGAGGTAAAGGTTTACTATAAACACTTTAACAGTCTTTGCCTCTGCTCTTTAACTTGGCCTTCCGAATACTTTCAGTCTTCTATTGCAAGACTTGGGTTTGGTTACCTTCTGATAAGGATTATACCACTTTTGCAAAGTCATTCTTATAGAGTCTCAATCTCTTATCTCTCTCTTATCTTGAAACTTTGATTAAAAAATTGCTCTCACTCAAAGAGCAGGAGTTGATTGAATGGCAAAAATAATACACACGCATGCATTTATGATATGATATGGAACATATGAAATGGATTGTGAAAGTGGGGGAGGAATAAACTTTATTGGCCTGTAGAAGGGATGAGGGAAAAGAAGGAAGGGCTGGGGAAAAGAATGAAAACAGGTGGGAAAACTAAAATGGAATGATTAATAGTGTGCAAATATACTTTGTAACCTCCACGATTCAACTTGGAGACAGCTATGTACAGTGAAATACAGGTAGACTAAAGTGAGTTTCACTTTGTAGTTGATGCTACTTGTACCAGTTCTATCATTAGTAAGTCACTGTTTAATTCTGCCAAAGTCAGACAAGGCTCTCTGGTTAGTGCAAACAAGAGTCTCCATCCCGGGCTGCAGTCTGACCCGCCAGTGCTCAGAAGGCATGCTCGTGACGAACTCGCACACTTTCCAGTTCCCCACCTCCAATGGCGGCCAGGGTCTCCAGCCTGCTTAAGTGCTCCAGGCTTCTTCCAAGAACTTCTTCTAGCCGACTGCGTATCACCTGGGCCCCTTCTAGTTCCACCTGCAGAGTTCGGTCTCTCTCAGAGCTGATTAAACATGCCATACATGGAAGGAAAATGGATTAGCCATCAATGTAATGAGTCCATAGATGCTTCCAAAGAGCCATCAGTGCCACTCTGAGCCATGAGACTTTCGGAGTAATTGTTCTCTAGGACACAGTAAATGAATGTGGTCTTTATTGTGGCCCTTGTGTTCAATGCTGGTAGATTAGCAAGGCCTGTTTTCTGTAAAGTTTGTCCCTTTATCCTAGATTCTGGGCCAATTTGACATAAAATTATAGTTCCTAATATTTATCTCACACCATTATAGCCCACTAAGAGAAATATCATTTTTTAACTAAAAGCGTTAGTTTCTGAAAAGCCAAAACCCAGTAAAAACTAAATGCAAACTGAATCGATATTGAGCCAAGTAGGGTCGCTACTGAAGATATTCGTTTTCTCATTTGTTACGGAAAACTGACAGTGCTCTGAAAAAGAATCCAGTTCACAAAGAAGCAGAGATTCTTTATAAAGTAACACACATGGTCCTATTTTACCTTTCCTCTGCCTTCATTTTCTTGAAGGGGAAAGAAAAAAAAATTTTTTAACTCAAAAATAAATTAGAAAAAACTGAATAGTAAAAGAATAAAAATTAGGAAAGAGAGAAAGGGGCTACGAGGGAAGGCAGAATAAGAAAAAAAAATTAAGGGAATATAAAATGAACCAGAAGGATATAATATACATGACCAAAAATCAAGAGGTACAGGAAAATAGATTCATCATGATGGCTATGAGTAATCCTGGGGTAATATTAGCCATAACAATTATATCTTCTTCAGTTATATTCAATGAGTATCAGTGCCCTTTACAGTCTTATAATGAAGCAGCCTTTAATAGGACATGGATTAGAGAGAGGAAAGAAACATACAATGAGTGCTTACTATACGCAAGCATTATTTTAGACACCTGGCATGTCTCCTCATTTGATCTTTGCAATAGCTACACGAAATGGATGCTACTCCTGACTTAAGATTTAGACACTGAGGCTCAGAGCAATCCCTACAACTAGTGACAAGTCGGGTAGTCCCAGTTATGATTTTCTTCTTCTCCCTCCTTGTATACTGTGAGCATCTGCACTTAATGAGGAATAAAGGGAAAAACAATGCAGTCACTCTCTTACCTCTCTGGATGGGCACGGAACCTCACGAGACTGCTATAGAGCTGTCTCTCCGCTTGTAAGGCCTCATTGAGCCGACTCCGTTCATCTACCAGTCCTTCTAGCATCAGCAGCAACTGAGGGAAAAAGAATAGAAGCAACATGCAAATAGAGACATGAAGCCACAGTTAATCCTGAGAAAGAGGCCAAAAGAATGTATTAGCATGAGCTATGACTCAAAAAGCTCACTATCTCATTACTGACTTAACCTTTCTATATATAGCATGTTACAGTTTTCAAGTCAATGCCATATTATCCTTTTTTACCTTTAAAACTCTATCGGGGGCTTCCCTGGGGGGTGCAGTGGTTAAGAATCCGCCTGCCAAAGGAGGGGACACGGGTTCAAGCCCTGGTCCAGGAAGATCCCACATGCCGCGGAGCAACTAAGCCCGTGAGCCACAACTACTGAGCCTGTGCTCTAGAACCCGCGGGCCACAACTACTGAGCCCACGTGCCACAACTACTGAAGCCCGCATGCCTAGAGCCCGTGCTCCGCAACAAGAGAAACCACCACAATGAGAAGCCTGCACACCACAACAAAGAGTAGCCCTCGCTCGCCACAACTAGGGAAAGCCCGTGCGCAGCAACGACGACCCAACGCAGTCAAAAATAAATAAAATAAAATAAATTAATTAAAAAAAAGAAAACCTCTATCAGGCAGAATTCAAATATGGGAGCAAGAAGAAGAAAGAGGAGAGCGAAGCCAGAAGGACAGGAAAGAGGCCAAGAAGAAGGAGTGGGAGAGAAAGCAAGGAAGGGCAAGAGGGAAACATACAATAGGACTTACTAGTACTCTTCATTCATTCAGTAAACATTTATTGGGCACCTTCTATGTGCCAGACTCTGTTCTAAGGAGAAGCTTACTATCTAGTGGGGGGAAAAGATATTCATGAGTCACAGACACATGTCATTGTGAGCTACAGTAAGCGCTTATAAGGAAGATGAGCTACGGTAGTGCATAACCGCAGAGATCTATTTAAGTGAACTGGTAGAGTTAAAAGCTAGCTTGGAATGAGATGAGTAGTTAGTGAGAGAGATGATAGTGGAGACAGGGAGGAGTACAGGCAAACAGGTCATTTTAAGAAGCCTGGCATTAAAGAGAGGTCACATATGGCGCAGCAGTTACAAAGGAACTACACGTGTGAGAAAAAAGCATCTGTGGTTGCTACTGACCAAGGCAGGGAAATTTAGAGCACAGATTTTCTATGAAATTCCATCAACAGACACCTTCAAAAATAATTGAGATTGACGGCTTGTTCAATTGTTTATCTCACAGTAAAAAATAAGGTTTGTAATTCAGTAACTTACTTGTTGTCTTCGGTTTCCCGAAGTTTCCTGACCCTGTGATTCTACTGAAGCAACTTTTTCCCGAAGAAGTAAGACTTCTTGGGTCAGGCGTTCCATAGCTGGTATGTCTTCAGGATCAACCAGCTGCATCTGCAGGTCCTAAAAGTCAAAAACAAGTATAGCAATAAAAATATTGGGTTGCCCAAAAAGTTTGGGTTTTTCCATAAGATCTTATGGAAAAACCCAAACGAGCTTTTCGGCCAACCCAATAAGTAATAAAAACGCTATTCAGCACAGGAACAAAGTAACAAATCTCTTGAAATAGTTTGCTATACTTTAAGTGGGATATTAATAAGCCCTATGACGGTAACAATAGCTTCTTTATGAAATCTTAGCAACTCTGACATAAACCAGAGAGAATATGGCAATATCAAGAGGCTCAAACTAACAGTGCATAAGAAGACTCAATGTATCCAAGTGTTGTCTGAAGATGCCCTACAGGTATTCTGAGCTGTAATCATTTCCAATAGTCTTTAAAAAGCTTTCAAAGACCTTTATGAGGTCTTCTTTAATCTGTATTGTCCTGGTCAGGGACTCCATATCAGCAGCCTGCACCTGCAGCTCTTCCTCTTGCACAGCCATCATGGACTGGAGGGCGGAGAGTTCCATCTGTGGAGAAAGAAATCCTGAAGTCAGTGGGTAGAGGAAACAACATGTGTCACAATTACATTCTAACATTGAAGCAAATGCTTTTCCATATCTTATCAGCCAGTAGTGCAAATAGAAACTAGAACATGAATAGTGTGCTACTGGATCAGATCAATAAACTGCACTGTGCAGTACTAAAGGGTGTTTCATGGGAAGTTGTAATGTGGTTTTAATGATATCCTCCATCTTTGTTAGCACTACAAAACATACCAAATTTGTTTAATTAATGAGTTTATTATACTACTTTAAAAAATGGGTTACCATTAGCAGATGCAAGAATAGATGTTTTTCTTTACATAAGTATTTCAGCTAAAAGATTAAAAAAAAGACAGAATATCTCCATTTTTGCAAGCCTTAATGAATTAATAGAGGCATCAATCATCAATATCACAAGAGATCACCAAACATTACACACCTCCTGATGGAAGAACACACCACCACCTATGAAGAAGTCCTACCAAAAGTTAACACTGTAGGCCCTAAACGTTCAATGTTGTATCCTTCATCTCTCCTCACCAGAAAATGACAGCCAAATATTCGATTATGACAAATTTCACTAAAAATCATGATAATTTCCACAGCTGCTAACATTTACTAGGTGCTTATTACTGTGTTCCAGGCCTTATAAAAAATACTTTGTATATACTTAATCCTTTTAACAAACCTAATGACTTGGCTTCTGTCCACTTTTTCAACCTCAGTATGAACCATTTTCTGCCTCATTCATGATTTTCTAGGCACACTGGACTTTTTCTGTTCTAGGAATACCAGACTTTCTCTTGACTCAGAGCCTTTGCACCTACTATTCCCTCTGCTTGAAATATCTTCCTGAGTTGCCTCCTTCTCATCCTTGAGTCCCAGCTTACACGGCATCTGCTCAGAGACGCATTCTCTAGCATTCTATCTCAAATGGTCCCATACATGTTACTTTCTATTATTTCCCTCATATCGCTTATGACAATCTGTAATTGTATTATTTGTTGTCTGAATCTCCCCAGTGGGAATTAATTACATAGGGTCAGAGACTTTGTTGATTTTGTTCCCTATTCATCCCTGCCACTTGCCCTGGCTTAGAGAAAGTACCTATATAGCTGATGAATGAAAGAATGAGTGAATCCTCCCAACAACCCTACAGAATAACTACTCTTCTACTCCTCAGTTTACAGATGAGGTGACTGAGGCTGAGAGAAATTAAGGAACTTGTTCAAAATCAGAGCCAGTAAGTGGTAGATCCAGAATGTAAACTCAAGGAAGTAGACTCAAAGCCACCAGACTATGTCTTATATGCTTCATGGTAATGGCAAGTTATTTGTAAGTAAACATTTTAAGGAAATATTTTGAGATAATTTTTTTAAAGTAGTTGTGACAAGTGAAGATGGATGACACACAGCTAGTTTAGGGTGTAATCAAGCTTCCTAAAGGAAGCAGCACCTTTTTCCTTAAGTAATATAAAACGTAAGTTATAAGCAATAAAAATTTTACTTGTGTATCTTTTTTTTTTCTTTAATAAATTTACTTATTTATTTTATTTTTGGCTGAGTTGGGTCTTCATTGCTGCGCTGCGCTTTCTCTAGTTGTGGTGAGCGGGGGCTACTCTTCACTGAGGTGCGCAGGCTTCTCACTGTGGTGGCTTTTCATGTTGCAGAGCATGGGCTCTAGGTGCGCGGGCTTCAGTAGTTGTGGCATGAGGGCTCAGTAGTTGGGCTCGCGCGCTCTAGAGCGCAGGCTCAGTAGTTGTGGCGCACGGGCTTAGTTGCTCCGCGGCATGTGGGATCTTCTTGGACCAGGGCTTGAACCCGTGTCCCCTGCATTGGCAGACGGATTCTTAACCACTGCGCCACCAGGGAAGTCCTACTTGTGTATCTTCTAACTCCATCAATGCTTATAGAATCACTGTGTGGACTTATGATGGTTTATAACTATACAAAGGTATTTGATGATTCTGGGCTACCGCGGCAGATTAGGAGGAAATGCTTCTCCTCATATTTCCTTCCTTGTTGAAGGAGCTCAGTTACTGTAACTCCTGACCTCTCTCCACCCCTTTACTCACTCAACCCTGGGCAGGCAAAGGGACTTAACAGTAGACTGGGGAAGAATAAACCAAGCAAGCTTGACCTAGTTCCACCTTTCCTCTTCTTGGGAGACAGCTGCCTGTAGGAAGCCACTGCTTCTCCAAAGGCAAGCTCTTCCCCACCACGCAGAATGGTCTGCTGAGGCCCAGCGTTGCCTGTCTGGGCAGATAAATCTACCTAATTCTGGGGATTGGCCAGCAGGCCCACTTGGTTCTTGCATTAAATTCTCTATGTAAGCCTTTATCAGTAATACAGTTGATAAAGTACCAAACTACCTGCCACTATTTTATTTCATTTCTCATTTTGTTCAGATCTTGGGTATGGAAAAAGGGGTGCTCTTAATTATTAGGCTCCCTTCAGAGACCTCTGCCATTTTATATCGAGGTAGTTGCACCATTGAAGAAACATGAAAACATGAAGAAAAAACATTATTGCAGCATGCTAAAGGTCTGCAGTCAGATAGACATGGGTCTTACATCTTGGCATAATCTCCCGAACAAGGCAATTTAAACTGAGCTTCAGATTCTTCAATTGTAAAATGGGAATAATATCTACTTTTCAGGGTTATGTGAGAATAGAGAAAATGTATTAAAGTGCATGGCATAGAACAGGCAATCAGAGAATGATAACTATTATTACCACCACTACTATTATCTCAAGGGAGTAGGGGGAATGTTGAAAAATCTGGGAAAATCTATATGGCTTTGGTAAATACCTAATATTAGAGGAAATGTGATAATAAAAATAAATAGCATTGAGTTGAGAAGTTGTAGTTGATTAAGAACATACAGACGTAAGCAATAGAGCTAAATATAACTCACTCAAAATACCGATTTTTTTCTTTTAAATGTTTTTCTTCAAAGTATCATTTATAGTAATTATAATTTTAGGATCCTGAAAACAGGACAAAACCAAAAGTAACATTACTCTTAATTGAATATATGTGAGATAAATAAGAACGGCATGTGGAAACTAAATTATCTGACATGATAGTGGCTAGGGCAGAACCAAGAAAAAGGAGGGGAACTAGGGGATTTTTTAAACTAGTATTTTTTAAATGCCACACAATTTCATATCCTCAAAACTTGATTCATATAACTCTGTAAGGAGAAATATGGTAATGAAAAGAGAAATTAGAGGTACAATAAGATAATTTCATTACAAATATGAATGCAGGTTTTATGTTATAGATGTAACTATGACAAAGAGGTAGAACAAAACTGAGGAGCTATACAGACCAGCCAGCTAAACTTAATTTAGGAACCCATGACACTGACCGATCTAAAATAGAGGCCATAGTTACATAAAGGCTTTCAGTTTTAGTCTATAACTCTATACTGTGGACCTAATGCTTCTTCTACATCATAGTACAAACAACTAGCTGTATAGGGAAGAAGCGGAAGGGATTCTGTAAGGCTGAGAGGCCTCTTCTAAGAAAATTGATGAAACCTCTATTGCTAGAAATAGAACATATGAATGGGAAAAATTATCTGCTCCAGGAAATGACTTCTTAGGAAGTGTTTTGAGTCACAAAAGACTTGAGTTTTAATCTTAGCTTTAGCATTTTATAGCCATATAACTCTTCCCCACCTCCAGGTTTTAAAACAGTGTTTCAGCTTCTTCATCTATAAAATAGGGCCAATATGACTTACTCAGCAGAGCTGTATTAGTGCTAATTTAAGTATCCAGTACAGTGCACTGCATATAGCAAGTACTCAATAAAAGTGGGTCCTTCTCAAATTTCTCTTGTTCCATGTTTCTAAAACTAATTTCATGGATCTAATGTCATAATTCTAAGCAGCAATTATGTAGCACTTCATTTCTTCACAAGTCCTTTGTAATTATTTTATTCCAGTTAGCAATGGGCAGAGAAAGCTGTGTTTTTTCAGCACTTAAAAAGTTTTAATGATCCCCATTATAAATAACAAGAGCATCTTGGTGAGAAATGTGTATATAAAGGGATTTCTATTTTTCTCCAGAAGGAAAAAAGGCTCAACTTGCATTTGGACCCAGATATTATACTTGGAGAATTTTACTCTTTTAAATATGAAGTATTTTGAAAAAAACAGGAATTAAGAAATTAGGCTTAACAAGAAAACTCACCCGACTTTCTCTTTCTTTTTTAGCCATGAGCTCAAGTTCCTCTTTGGCATTACTCAGTTCTTTTTCCAGCCCTGCAACTGTATCCAAGTCTCCTAAAAATGAATACATAATGCTAGTTATAATCAGTATCAACATAATGTGATCTTTGCTGCCTTGTTTCTAAGGAATTTAAGATACAACCCAACAACAACAAAACACATATGCACAGGTTGTTCTTTGCAGCATTATTTGTAATAGCAAAATACTGCAATCAACCTACAAGCCTATAAAAGAATGAATAAAGCATAGTATATCCACACAGTGAAATACTATATATAGCCGTAAAAAAGAATGAGGAATATCTTTAATGAAGTTATACGGAGTGATATCCAAGATATTAAGTACAACAAGTTGGGCACAGAAGAATACATCTAGTTAAGTATGCTTTATATTAGGAAAAGGGGAAATAAGAACATACACATACACATCACAAATACACATAGAATTAATCTGCTTATTTTTGCAAAAAGAAACACAGGAAGGATACCTCAGAAATGAAACTGGTTGTCTTCAGGGGATGAGTAAAAATAGCAGAGAAAGGACAGGGAAGTAGATGGGACTTCGGAGTACACTTTTCTATATTTTTGAGCTTTGAAGCACGTTAATGTTTTATTATTAATGTGTAAAGTTAGTTTCCACAATGAGGAAGCAAAAGCCAAACACTGAATACTAACATAAATAAATGAAACTAAATAGCAAATTGACAAGATAACCACCCAGGAGATAATAAAAAAAATTAATCCAAGTAATTTTTGAACTCGGTATTCTAACTGTACACCCTTGGTGCTAAATATTCTAAGGATAAAAAGAATTATAAAGAAATTTTAAACATTATTTAATAGATTTAGTGTTGATAGTGGTATTCATGTAGCCATTCTGAAACTATTTTTGTGTACTGTGCAAATGTATAAATATAGCGATGTTACAGGTAACCAGGTTTCTCAATGTTGGGAGAAGGCAGATACAAATACAAAATAATGGAAAGAAAGAACTTGTATTGTTTAACTGGAATTAGAGGAATCAGTATCAAATGGAGATATATATATATGTGTGTGTGTGTATACACATATATATGTATATATATATACATATATATGTGTATACACACACACACGCTCACACATATACATATAAACATCCTTAGCTCTGTTCACTTAAAAGGGCCTAGAAGCAAATGACATACCTGTAGCTATGAACCTATCTTATATCCAGATACTAGTATATAAATGCCATTACCCACTAAAAGGAACCAGAGAGCTCCTTGAAGTAAGGGATAATTTCAGGGCGGAGGTAGGCAAAGTAAAAGAAAATCACAGAACATCTTATTGTACCAGAAAGTATGGAAGTGCTCAAAAACAGATGGGGAAATACCGAAAGGAGAGAGGAACAGCTTGAAGGGGCTCCAACTGGCCAAATCCAGGATAATTTGGTTATCAAATGGAATAATGACAGAAATGGATAATAAAATGATGTTTTTTTAAAAAAAGAACCCATTACTCCATACTGATATAAACAAACGGAGTACGAAGAATAGGGAAAGGGCATCTCTTCTTTATAAAAGAATACACACTACTAAATAAAGAAGGAATTTTAGAAATAGAAAATCTCTTTTTTAAACTACCAGATAGTGAGTTCCAACAAGCTCAAAGGATGCTAAAACCACTGGGTGAATGACTGTGGGAAAGCAGAACTATCAACATCTCAAGGCATTTGCTGGCAGATCACTTATTAATTACAAAGGGGAAAATGAGCCTTCAGAGTGGAGACATCTGGCAGATACAACCTTAACCAAACAAGTAAACTTAATATCACCGAGCATAACACAAACTGATACCATGTGCTCCTGATGTGATGCACTGAGAAAGACATCATCCACGTAGTATTCTTGCCAAAGATGTTTAACTTGAATCTAACCATGAGGAAACAATCAGAGCCAAATTGAGGGCCATTAGCTGGCCCAGAGTTTTACAAAATGCCAATGTCAGAGAACAGACTTGTGGTTGTCGGGGGGGGGGGGGGGGGGTTGGATTGGGAGGCTGGGGTTAGCAGATGCAAACTATTATATATAGAAGGGATTAACAACAAGGTCCCACTGTACAGCACAGGGAACTATATTCAATATCCTATAATAATCCATAATGTAGAAGAATATGGTAAAGAATATATATATATAAAAAACCGAATCAATTTGCTGTACATCAGAAATTAACACAACATTGTAAATCAACTATACTTCAATTGAAAAAGAAAGCCAATGTCAAAAAAGACAAAAAAGGCTAGAAAACTGTTCTAGATTAAAAGAGGCTAAAGAACCATGACAAGTAGGTGCAATGCATGATCCCTGAGGGAAGAGAACAACCAGCTATCAAGAATATTATTGGGACAATGGGAACTCTGAATATAGACTGTACATTAGGTACTATGACTGTATTAAAGCTAAATTTCCTGAGCGTGATAATTATATTGTAGTTATGGAAGAGAATGCCCTTGTTCTTAGGAAGTACATAATGAAGTATTTAGGGATAAAGTGTCAATGATTTCTGTGAGTAATTTTTAAATGGTTCAGAAAAAAACATTATATCTGTGTGTGGGTGCATGCAAGAAATAATGCAAAAGTAGCAAAATGTTAACAGTTGGTGAATCTTAATAAAACTGTATATGGGTATTCATTGTACTATTTTGCCACTTTTCTATAGGCTTGAAATTTGCAAAATAAAAAACTGGGGAAAGATGCTTTTAAAAAAAGGTAAATATGGAGTAAATTGAACAAATCCAGCATCCTTTACTCTTTAACTAGCATAAAGTGTCCCACTAAAAAATTACTACTTGCACAACTTATCTATGAATTCCATAATACCCTACACTATAACACAAAGTTTATACATTCTTAAAATCATTAAAAAAATCGTAAGTTTATCCTCCAAGTCCACAACATTTCTTATCATAGCACTATAATCACCAAGTCACTAACCATGGTGAGTCCCTATTTTTGGAACTCACTGGATAACAGTTTCTTTGATGCTTCCCTAGATCCCAACCTTTTGGTCTGTGAAAGTCAGAGACTCTAAGGCACCCATTTGAGTTTTGCTCAGTTGTTTTTAGGGAGTTCAAGGCCTATAACCATCCCTTGGATGGAGGGGAGCTTGGCACTGCCTACCCCTCCCAACACTGTAATGTGGGTTATGTCAATTTACAGTGAGCAGCCTCAGCCTGCTTAAGGTACCCAGGAGACAGGTCAGCCCCGTGGTCCTGCTGTGCAGGTTTGGAAACCCTGCCTCCCGCGTTCCTGAATCCCTGCAAAGCTAACTGAAAAAGAGAATTAGGATGCAGTTTCTCTGAGTCAAATTGTACAGCCAGAGCAATACTTTTAATTCAAAATAAGGCAAGGGCAGTTCTCCCTAGAAGACACATGTCTTCAGCCTTTCAGTGGAATCCAAACTTATTTTTTCCATTATGGTAGGAAGAGAAAGAGAGTCTTGGCCAAACCTATTAACAGAGAGTTACAGGAAGGAAAGACAGAGGTTCCTGAGTGAAATGAAATTTGATACTTACCTAACACAGACCTGGGTATGCTAGTATCCCCTTTGTCAGTCAATGAAGTGCTATCATCTCTGGAGGGTATAGGCACTGAACCCTAAAAATTGGAAGAGTCGGGGGATTTAGGAACATACAGGAACCATGATCACAATGACAAGGACTTGGAACATTCTTGCACAACTTGATATTAAAATTATCATACTTATGCCTCAGATATAAAAAGAAAATGCAGTTGGCATAAACATCTATACAAGTCTGTGGTTCTTACTTGATCAGTCTGCTCTCCAAGATGGGGACCGACGGAGGTAACTTCAGCTGGTTGGTTAGAGATGAGTGCCTGGGACGTCATGAAATCTTTCCCTCCTAAATACTGGCGCAGGGCCTGTAATTCTGAATTTCTTTCCATTAGGGCCTGTACCATCTTTTCTGCAGCAGCCTAGTAAGGAAATCACACATAACATTAGAGAGATATTCTAATAAAAAAAAAATTTGTGTTCTGATGTCATTGTTAAAAGCCAGCCATTTAAGAAAAGCCAGTGGGGCCCTAAGAAATAGTTTCCTTGCTTTTATTTTATAGGAAAAACCATAGTCAATGAGCGGAAAGAAAGTCTCTCATAGGCATAATATTGGAAAAACGGAATATAACACATCTGTTACAGATAAAATAATCTAAACTTGTTCTGCTAGAACTATCAGGCTAAGGTATTAAGATTCTAGTTTGAATTGGGTAACATATGTCTTTCTTTACTCATGTGCCTTTGGCCTGAATGCTCTTTGCCCAAACATTTGTTTGGTACACTCCCTTGAGGTCTTTGCCAAATGTCAACTTTATCAGATTGGCCTAGTCTGCGTTTCCTATCTAAAACAGCAATCTCATCTCTACTCCTAATTCCCCCGTCATGCTGAATTCTTTTTACAATGCACTTACCAGTAATCAATATATCTATTTATTGTCTCTCTCTCTCTCCCCAGCCCCCCGCCCTGCCCCAACTGGATGTAAGTTTTCTAAGGGCAAGTACTATGTTTTGTTCAGTGCTGAATCCCAAGCACCCAGAACAACGTCTGGCACATAGTAGGCACTCAATTCATAGGTACTCGAGACCTATTTATTGAATGAATCAATTACACAGAAACATTTTTATCAGACCACATGATCAGGAGAATCTGAACCTCAAAATCACCAAACCCAGTTTATTTCATTTCAAATCCCACAGTTTTCTAAGACACATGATGGTACAATAAGGAAAATATTTAGAACATTTTTTTGTGACCATTACCACATAGAAAGTCTGCATTTAATCAGAAAATCTAGAAATAGTAAACTAAGACTAAAAGAGGGTATAAGATGATGAATATATCAGCTATATTATAGCATCGACTGTCTCTGGGAGAATTACTACTATTTTAAATAAGAAGCTGAGCTCTTGTCATAACTTCTAAGGGAAATAAAAGAATAAACTTCCAGTTTTAGTATGTAAAATTCAGACTCTTTAGGGATTTGGACATAACCATCTTAGAGGTAACAGTACATTATTAACTTGCCTTAATAAAAATCTCTGTGAAATTATGAGAAAAAACAGAGTGAATAATACACAAGACATCTTGTGCCATATACGTGATCTATCTGGCTTGGTACTCTCTTTCTAGCAGTGCTGTTTTTAGCACTGCTCCTCCAAGTGTGGCTCATGGGCCAGCAGCATAACCATCACCTGGAAGCTTGTAAGAAATGCAAATTCTTGAGGCTACGTTTTTAAAAAGCTATTCAAGGGATTTTTCTGCCTATAAAATTCGAGAAGCAGATTTAGAAGAATACAATCATTACACTTTTTCTTGCGCTGAAAATCTTTTGTAATTTCAGGCATCTCCTAGATTCCATTATTTTACTACCAGCGGTATATTAAGTGTTATAAGGCTAATTCTTTCAAATTACAAAGGGGTGAAAAAGAAAACTCAAAGACTTGTTAGCCTCTTGCCAAAGACTTAAATAATTCACAATGATCTTGTTAGGTCTATTCCAGAAGCAATTTCTGCAGCACATGGCAGCATGTATCTAACAAAATGTGTATTTACTGCAGTGGGCCTAAGAATTGGATGAGTGGAATATAACCATCCCATAATATAAGGAAGCATTAGAGAATATTATTGTCAAATAACATAGGCAAATGATAAGAATCTAGTTCCCTCTGAGAACTGACTAGGGAGAATTCTGAGTGACTGGTCCCTGAAATGCAGCACAAGTCAACTATACTAGACTTTCTCTAGCCTTTAGGAGAAAGATACGTGAAAAGGAGGGTAAGTTAAGAATTTACTTTTGAAATATTTGTGTACTATTATTTTGAAATTACTATGAGATTGTTTATTCTCATCATGGCCTTTGAAAAAACACAAACTTTTTTTTCTCTCTTAAAATAACTCAGATTTTACATGAATTAAGAGAAAATATGTAAAGTATAAGTTTTCCCATACCCTGGCTAGAAACAAAATATCACTCAAGTCTTGATAATTTAGAATCAAAATCAAAACACTCCAGAACCCTATATTCCTTTCTGTCAAAATTATCAGAACATTAAGGAAAAGAAAATGTACATAATGAATTTAATGAGTGGGGACACGTATTATTTAGGCACCCTCCAAATGCAAAGTGTTCTAGAAATATTTCATACTCTGATGACTGATGTAAAACTGTAGTCTAGTTAATAGGCTGAAGGAGAAGAACTAACAGAATGGACTGTAAAATGCGGACTATAAACGCACTAAGTGGTACTCTTCTGGACTGGGCATTAGTCCTTACTTGGCTCTCCTGCTCCCTGCTGCTCATGGACTGAAGCAGGCCCTGAATCTCCATTTCATATTCCACCACTTGTTTGTTTCGATCACTTAGAAGGTCCTGCAGCATCCTTTCCTTTCGCTGTAGACGCTGGCACAGCTCCTCAGCTATCTCATTCTGTCCTGGTCCAAGTTTGCAGAGCAATGTTGCACTAAGATCCTAATACAGGAGAGACAGTGTAAGTTTTGGAGGAAAGAATTCCATCTACTGTATATCAAAGGGCTTAAAAGAATCTATCATAGAAGAGAAAGCAAGTATGATGTTTTATTCATTTTTGTTCCCGCAGATCCAGCATAGGCCTGGCACATAAAAGACTGTCAATACATGCTCAGTGAATGAACACTAACAATACAGAAAAAAATACTTAGAATGGCAACTTACATATTGTTTTCTAAAATAAGTCCTTGCCCTATAATGCTCAGGGCACATAATAACGTTAGGTGCGGATAAATGGGCACTCAGTTCATTTATCTCATTTATCTACTCCCGTTTGACTTTATAGGGGGAACACAAAATGATCAGCTGAAAAAAATAACAAGCACTGTATTTATTAGCACGGTGATGAAGCTGCTAGTTCTACACTGGAGGTAATACATGGGGGTTAAAACTGTGGAGCCAGATCGCCCGGGGTGCACACTGGCTCTGCCACTTATTAGCTATGTCACTTTGGACAAGTTGCTTCACTTCAGAAGTCTGTTTCCTTGCCTGTCAAAGAGGAATAATAGTATGTACCTCATAGATTTGTGAGGATTCAATGAATTGACATCCATTAAGCTCTTAAGAAAGTGCATGACGCAGCATGAGCACCATAACAAAGGTTAGCTATTCTATTGTAGGTACATTTTTTAGGTCTCATTAATTCTCACATAACTCCTTTGAGAAAGATAACTGTCCCCTTGAGTTTATAGGTAGAGGAAAAAAAAGTCCCAGTGAAAGCCAGTGACCTGCCCAGAGACAGGATAGAATTAAAGACTTGGGTCACCGGCCTCTCAGACCTCAAGAGTCCTAATGCAAGACTGAGATTATGCCATCACTAAACCAACTGCCCTTAAGTTAACTAAATTCTTGCCTCCACTTCTTTGTTCCTGTCATGCAGAGATGTCTGTAGCTGCTGAATGATACTTTCTTGCTCCTTCTGCCAATGGCTAAATTTCGTTTCCATTTCTTCTTTCAGCCATTGGAGGTTTTGACAGCTGGCCGACAACTGTTCCACTTCCAGGCCTTTGGCCCTCAGGAGACTCTCCATACACTACAGTCACAAAGAAAGCAGCCGTTAAGTCAAAGGGCCACCCCACACTCCTCAGCATAAACAGGAAACCTGATCCACCTTTACATTATCTCCTAAGTTATCTATCAATTTCTTTTGCAAAAGGAAAAAACGTAGTATCTAATCCAACAATGCCATACTAGTCTATTTGTTGCTTTTAGAAACTCTCATCTAGTTTGCAGAGAGATAAGTATAATGTATGTGTTAAATGAAGTACTTTGGAGGAAGTGAAGAACTTCAAGAAGTGTCAGATGGTTAGATATTTAAGCTCTAAAATAAATATACAAAAATAGCCCAGAGTAAATATTAATAAGAGAAGTGTTCTGATTGTGACTGTACACAGACATGTACATAATATTAATGAGAAAAATACAATATAATAGCTGCATCTGAGCAACATTTATATAAAAGTATATAAATATTAGCAAGGATTAGAAATAAATTAGAACTATGTATAAAAATCCATATTCACTGCCCTCTCCCACAAAGTTCACAGTAGAAGTGCTAAAACTTCTCACTCCCTTATGTATAACGACAGAACTAATGACTGCTATTTTTGTTTGCTTTTGTATATCTATTTTTTAATAAAGCAAATATCCTGGTTTTCAGAAAATGATGGAAGGGGTGATGTTTCAGGTTTAGAATCCAAGTGGGAGAGGGATACCAAGTCATGACAGATTTTGCTCTTACCTGCATGGTAGCTTCATTGGAGGAGAGGATACCGCGCAATCTCTCTAAGTCATGATCTCGCTCTCTCACGGCAAGACAAAGTTGACGCAGTTCTTTTTCTTTTTCTTCTAGACTGGAGAACTTTTCGTCTATAGCCCGCTGCAAGCAAAGTCAGCATCCCAAAGCTCCACAAGAGTCACTATTCTGATCATTCTTATTCAATAAGATTCCAAATATAAAGGAATGGAAAACCAACTCCCGAAAGCAGCAAATTAAGTAAATACATTTCTGAAGTCCCCCTGTGGATGAAATAATCCACAGCATCATAAGCAAAATTATGGTACCTACCTCTAGAGCAACATCTCTATCTTGTATTCTTTGCCGAAGCTTCTCAAGCAACATTTCATTTGCTTCAAGGGTTTTGTCCGAGTTATTTCGATACTGCAGGAGCTCCCGAAATTCCTGAGACCAAAATATATTTTCCTTTATTCATTTATTCAGTATTAACTGAATTTCCACACTTTGTCAAGGAATTTGTTAGTGATTCGGGATAAAAAACAAAATGTGATCACTCTCAAGGGGAACACAGTTTAGCAGAGATGACAGACATACAGAATGTCAACTATTCTGCATCACATATACGCAGGTGTATACATATACACATGTAGCAAGCTACTAGGGGAACACGGGCTGCATTGCCTAACTCTGCCTGAAGGTGTCACTAAAGTTCTCACAAAAGAGGTTACATTTGCTCTGAGTCTTAAAGGACTAGGAGTTTCCCGAGAGGCTGTGGGGTATCTCTATCAGAGAAAAAAACTGGCACAACATATGTATACCATGAAAAAATCATATGCTCAGCGAAATATAAGGGATCCGGTGTGACTAAAGCTTAGAGTAGGTGGTAGAACTGATCAGTCTCTTCTTTGGTGCTCCATTTTTTCCTATAACTTTCATTTTATCATCTATATAACTCTGGAAATTTCTATACAGAGGTCTTCAGTGGGAGCAGTGGACATATCTTCTCTTCATTTTCCTCATACCTAGCCTAGTATCTAACTCACAGAGGTGCTTAATAACTATTTGCTGAATATTTATTGCTTAACTGTTTCAGGTCTATATTTCTTGTTTCCTACACTTGCTGGTTAGCATCTTGGTTGATGGATTGTACTTTCTATTTCTTCTGAATCCTCCTGATTCCCACCTCTTAATGTTCTACATGTAGCAGGTACTCAACACAGGTGGACTAATGTTTTGAGATGATATGAACATAAATTCCCGAGCTCTAGGAACCCAGTTTTACTTGAAATCATTCTGTGGACTCACCTGAAGCAGCTGCTCTTTGTGACTCAGACTGTGGTTGAGCTGCTGAATGTGTTGCTCTTGGGTGCGAATCTCATTGTATTTTTCAGCCTCCAGGGTATGAAGCCGTTGGCCCTTACTCTGCAATTCTCCTTGTAGCTGCTGCAAGGCTTTTCGCAACTCCTGAATTAAATAGATTCCCTTTTCAAACAATCTAAAATTTTCACATGGTCATTAGATAGGGAGGCCTTAAAACTTTCAAAGCACAGAAAACAAAAAATAAAGTAGCAAAAAGTGCCATTCTTAAAATTACTATAGAGATACTACTACACATGAGTCAAATATGATGTGGGAAATCATGCGAACCGTGGATGGGGGTAGGATGTACATTTGATATTACAGTTCAATACTTATTTTTGGCTTAAAAATGATACATCTATATAAGTACTAAGTGGGACTCTGTTCTACCATAAACCTGGATCCTTTACTTTACAGTAAACTCAAGGATACAACATTCCTACCTATCCTTTTAAATCTTAAAAAAAAAAAAAGATGGCATTTGCTCTAACAAGAAACCATTTAAGAATTATGTGTTTTATTTAAAAAAATATACATGACTAATTGTGCACGCCATTCCTCTGACTTGGTTGTTCTTCCCACTTTTCTGCCTCGCTGACTCTTACCCACCCTTCAAGAATAATCTCAGATAACCTCCTCCTTTGTGAAGCTTTCCTGATTCCCTTCCCCGGTCCCTTGTATATATTCCTACAGGACCCCTATATGCCTCTTCTACAGTATTTACCACATTTACTACAGTATTACCACATTTACAGTATTTACCACTACAGTATTACCACATTAATACTACAGCATTACCACAGTATTTACCACAGTGTTTACGTGACTGTCTCTCATACTATATTACAAGTAACTTAAGAGGAATAGAGCCTATGATATTCACCCTTGTATTTCCAGAACACAGCCCCAATACCTGGCACATGGTATAAGGGCAACAAATGTTGAGCTGAATTACTTAGATTAAGTAAGTGACTCAAGGGTTCAACACAAGCTATCTTTATAAAAAGTTACTATCAGGGCAAAGTCTGCATTTACACAGTGCCACAAAATGATTAATGATTTACTTGGTTATGTTTCCAAGAAGCCTCTTTCTGCTGTTCTCTCTCCCGTGCTGCAGCCTCTACAAATTGCACACATCGTCTGGCATCAGCCAGCTGCCGTTCTTTTTGTCGTACCACCCTCTGGAGCTTCTGTATTTCAAGCTGGCTGCAGAATAAAGCGCTCTGAAGGTCAAGCAGAGCCACCTGTTGCTGAGCTGGGGAAGGAGCCTCTGAGTTCTGAAAAGAGAGTGAGAATCATCATCACAAGGAGGGCAAGCACTGAACAGCCGACAAGAACAACAAGATCAACACTGTGGCTGCGAGTGGCACATCCTCAAGTGATGCCTCCTGTCCCAGGTGACCCTCACATACATGAAGTTGTCCAAGCTGACTTTGGTGCAGCATTTCTCGAAGCTTTACCATTGTGTCGTTTTGACCTTCGATCACCTGGTACAACTCCTCGGTCTGAAAACAAAGACAGGGAGTACCAAAAATGTTAGCAAGCTAAATATAAATTCCGTTATCTCGCCTGTACAGATTTTAGAAGCAGGACTATTCCAAAATTCCAATTTAGATGACAGTACAGTTTCTCTAGGCTACGATCTGTTAGTCTGACAATATCCAATTCAACAAATTATAGAATACTTGTCTACTTTGATGGGAAAAATTGTTTCCTCATGGGTCCTTGACTGCCAAACATTTTACCTCATTTTCCCTGCTTTTCAGAGTTTCCTTGAGGTTTTGAATTGTACCATCTTGCTTCTGAGACGACTCCTGAGCGGACTTCAGTTCACAGCTCATTTCATTCAGTTTTTCTTGAAGAATCTGAATTCAGCGAAGAAAAACAGTTTGGTAGGTCAATGATTTCTTTTAACCTCAAATGCAACCATGAAGTCCTTCCTCAAATCTAGGTTTAAAGGATTTCTTAGGGAATATTACCTTATTAATTTTTCCCCACATAGCATAACCATTAAAGTCCTAAGTCAATCAGCAAGAGAAAGTAGCAGGAAATGTGAAATACTTCTTTTAATACTCAATTGCTTCAATTCTCGTGCACTGTGCTTTCTCTATGACGGCAGCCATACTGGGGGTACTTGTCCACATGAGTCACTGTGGATCTTTTACACGAAGACCAAGGAGCTTCTGCTATCTACTACAGGACAGGACACAACAAGGGTACACAAAGCCAGGAGCACAGCGTCCCAAATTGTGGGAATTTTCTTCTAAGCAGATGTTAAAACCCATGGGCTATAAAGGGGTAAGAAGTTAAACCAAAATCAAAAGCATGAACCTCTTGTCTCAGTGCCTTATACAGTTGAAAATTGCACTCGAGTTTTATTATCAGACCTAAAAGGCACCAGAAATTCTGATCTGTGCAGAACAGGCTAAAATCTTGATGAGAGATACAGGAAAGAACGACACTTTTAAGAATATATTCCACAGAGCACCAGGCATACACAGTACCCATCTCCCAGGTCCTACTCAGAGAGGCTAACGCAGACCCAGCTAGAGCCAGTCACATTCTCAAGAAACCCTGTGATCTCCAATACCTTGTTGGTGGCCTCTGTTTGCTGGATTTTTTCCTGGAGTTCTGTCAAATGGGAATCAGATACAGCCTGCTGAGTTGTACCGGTCTCACCTGAATTCAGCTTTGGTTGTCTGAGTAACTCTTCGGTCGTGGGCTAGGAAGAAGCAGTGAGATGATTAAGTTAAGCGTAGCCAACAATAAAGTTTAATTTTATCTTCAAATGTCTTTGGCATCTTTTGCCAGAGACTTAGAAAACCAGCGTTGCTGAATGGCTTATCAGTAATTCCTGAAGCCAGTCCTGTTCCGCATTCTGAGTACTGATTCACTTCCTCTCTAGCTCCCCTCCCCACCTTTCTCTTTCTCTATTCAGTTAAAGCAAGTAATTCAGAGATTAAAAAGAAGAGAGGATTTTTTAAAATGCTTATGATGACCAAATATTTGCTTTATCCTATTTTCAATCAGGGAATTCAAAAGGTCAAACTCACACCATCCCTAAGGGAGAAAAAGTTATAGTTCAACTATCTTTCTTACAACATGCCTATTCACATTATTGGAAAAATGGGTAGATTTCAAATATGGACCATACATTAGATAATAGTATTTAATCAATACTAAATTTCCTAACTTTGGTAATTGTACTGTAGTTATGTAAGAGATGTCCTTGTCTTTAGGAAATACATGCTTATTGAGCGTAAAGATGCATAATATCTGCAACTAATTCTCAAATAATTCAGGAATAAAAAAAATGTGTCTATAAACAGTGAGAGTGATAAAGCAAATGTAGCAACATACAGCAACTGGTGAATCTGTGAGTTCTTTGTACTCCTCTTATGACTTCTCTAACTTTGAAATTATTTCAAGATAAAAAGTAACAAAAATTAAAATAAATTTTTAAATCCATAGGGTCTGGGAAGGAGGTATGTTTTATAGGAATATCGATTCACCAAAAAGATTCAGGTGAAAAAAAAAATCTATTTATATTTGGGATGATCAGACTAAGATAAACTTACCGAACTGTACCTAATATTCATTATGAGCTAAGATACAAAAATAAAACTTTAGCAATTCACTGTGGCATTAAATTCCATCTCTTCTCTCCCTGCCTATCCCCCCTCCCTTTCTCCTGCACTCCCATTAGGGAAAATACAAATCCATTAGGAAGAGAAAAAAGGCAGCTATATTCATTTTTTCTTTACCTCACATGTTTAAACTCTGATTACCACCTTCTAGGCAGTGGGGTTTCAGCTTACCTTAAACCCCTTCCTGACAGCAACTGACTGGAAGTATAAAGATTTCAGAAGAAAAATCTTTGCTATTCTTCCAGGGCTGTTCATCATTTTTTAAAACATCTATGAAGTACCCCCTAATATGCAAAGCACTGTGGGATTCGGAATGGGGAGCTAAATGATAAAAGAACAAGGAAATACACTAAATATAAGCTAGTGACAAGCCCTATGCTATAAAATAGGAAAGCATGACAAAGTTGTTAAGTTACTTTAAAGTGGTTGATGAGCGGAAGGTCTCTATCAGGCAGCATTTAAATTAAGATCTACATGATAAAGAACCAGCTCTGCAAAATAAGAATAATCTTATTCAGAAGAATAATCCAAGCAGAGGATCAACTAATGGAAAAGACCTCGGGTAGATATGCCCCTGGGAAAGAGAAAAGCCTACATGGTTAGAGGAGCACTTTCCAAGAGAAATATAATATGAGCCACATATGTAATTTAAAATTTTCTAGTATCTTCATTGACTAAAGTAAAAATAAATAGGTAAACTTAATTTTAATAAAACATTTTATTTGACCCAATATATTATACCTAAAATATTATCATAAGCATGTATTCAATATAGAAATTATCAAGATACTTTACATTCTTTCCATAATAAGTCTTTAAAATTAAGGTTATACTTCACACTCACAGCATATCTCATTTCGGACTAGCCACATTTCAAGTGCTCAGTAGTCACACAGGGCTAGTGGCGGCCTTTCTGGAAAGCACAGGGCTAGAGCATACTGGGCAAAGTGGATGGTAATACACGATGAAGTGGAAAGGCAGAGAGGGGCCAGATCTGGTGTACAGAACCTACATCGGAGGTAATGAAGCTGGATTTCATTCTCATTGAAATGAGAATGGACTGCAGGGTTTTTAAGGGAAAAGTAATCAATCATATTTAAATTTTAAATAGCTGCTCTGTGATGAATAGATTGTTGGGAGCACCAATAGGAATGGGAAGACCAGCTAGGAGGCTGCTGCAGGGGAAAGATAATAGTGGCTTGGATTATAGTGGTAGTAATGGAGGGAGAGAGAAATGGATAGATTTGGATATGTTTTGAAGATAGAGTCTACAGGACTGGATGGTGAGACAGGGAGAAAGAGAAAAGTAGCAAGGATAATGACTCCTAGAAAAAATTGAGATATTTGTTGTTGTGGGTATAACAGGGAGCCTTGCCCTGAAGCGATGTGAATTATGTCACACCATGGAAGAGGTAACTATTTTAATAGATATTTACAACAATTCTGACTGATAAATAATTTTATCATTTATTTAACGATAAAACATTCTCTACCAAACTTGCCTTCTTACTTCCTCGGTGTAAAACAAATTTCCAACAACATCTATTACAAGATATTTTTCAAATTCAAACTATAACAAGCAGAATTAAATAGCTTCAAGTTTTAAATGGTCATATTTAATCATTTTAAACCAAAGAATCTTAGAGCTGTGAAGGACACTTTATAAATTAGCCATCTGGTCCAATCCTATCTTACATTTGAGGAAATGGAGACTTAGATAAGTAATTTGTCCAAAGTTACACTGGAAATCAGGAAAAGGATCCAATTAAACCAAATGCAGTTAAGTTGGTAACTTCCTTTTCATCTTTATAAACCCACTGCCTACCATAATGCCCGGAATATTGTACGGACCAAAAGTTTTTGTTTAATAAAGTAAACAGAACAATAAAAACAAAAGCAAATTAACAAAAATAGGCCTGTCTCCTAATTCCCAGACCATTGCTCTAATCTCTCAGTGGCTCTCTTAGAAAAAGACCAGATAAATAGATAAAAAGGTAGATGTTTAATTTACGCATTTCAACATCAACTTTAAATCCAAAGGATGCCACAGAAAAGTACATAATGAGTCTGGATCTCATCTGAACCCATCTTGGCACAAATCATCATAGGAAACCCCTAATTTGGTAAATGTAATGTATTGACCTAAAGGCTAGAAGATGTTTGTTTCTTCTTTATTCATAATATTTTATTATTTTAAATCTCAGGAAAAAAATGTCCTTTCAGATAAGTCTGCCAAAAGAGTACCTAGCAAAGTCCCACTGAGTAAACAGCTCATAATGAATCTTGTGAAATATCAAGTACATAAACCAACCACTCCTATGAAAGATTTTGTAGAGCCTGAAATCAGTAATACTTGATTTGGTTGAATCAGTGTTAATCTCCATGCTATCAGTTTCTAAAATCATGTTGTAATCATAATATAATTTTAAATTCAGTTGCTTTTGACTCAGGACAAATGCTTTTCAGCATCAGAAAAGAGAATTGCTTCCAGGCCTAAGGTTGCATAAAATAAGACCTTTAGGCTAAAAGGCAATTATTTAGATCTTCTGGATTAACAGCAGTTTTCTTGACACTTTCATAGTCATAATAGAAAGTCACAGGGCTCAAACTACTATAATTTTCTATCCTATTGTTAGCAATAGGGGATACACAAGAACTATCAACTAGCATAAAATTAAAGGCCTAATCTTTCACCAGCATCTAATGCTTACCCCTTCCAAAGGGCCTGATCTGGGTTACATAGCTAAGCTATAGAGAGGGATAAATTTATCATAGCCATACAAGAGCAGACTCTGGCATTGCAAGGCTTGAAGCAAAGGTCTCTTACTCTCTGAATTTAGATAGAAAAGAAAACTGCACGTGAACCAGAGCTGAATTAATGTTTACCAAGGGACCACACCCCTTCTATGACAGCTTTTCTATTGTAGTTCAGGGCCAGACAATAAAGAAGGAAATTATCAGCTAGAATAAAGCTTCAAACCTTTCTTTAGATATTTGACAACCTTGGGTCTTCAGACATAAATTCTGTAGGAGGCAAATAAATCAGTTTGCATAATGTCAGAAAATTAGTAAGCAGGAGTTGCAGTTTTTCTTTAATATAAGAAAGAAAGAAGGAAAGAGAGAAAGAAAAAGAAGAAAAGCAACCAGGAGGCATTCTGATGGAGATATTTAACAGTAACCAGATTAAACAAAGGAATCAAAATGACCTTACAGAACAATCTCGCTCTTAGGATAAAAGCTTTTCTTCATATTTGTAGCAGAATTTAGCTAAAGGAATTTTTTTTCTTTCAAGTTTTTTCTTTCTACAGACTAAAAAGAGAACTACCAAAAACAATTTACACTTATTTCTATTCTATCCACATTTGTTCAGAAACAGACAAAAATTAGTCTGCCTTTGTCCCACTTAGATCTTCTTTTGCCATAAAGCACAACAGGCCTTAAGGTGCTTAAAAGTCAAGACTTAAACAGTAGATCCAGAATCCAAAACATACATTTTATCTACAAACACTTTGAGCCTAATTAATCTATTTCCTTCCACATTCTTAATCATTGGAGAAAACAGCACAGCAATCAAATGCCATGATTCTTCAAGCTGAATGTTTTCTTCCTCCTCTCAATGTTTTATTATTCTACAAACAGTAAAGGCGGTAAGCCAGGTTACAGCAGAAAGGTCAAACACTGCTGTGTTAAAGGTCTATTTTTTTCTGATGTCTAAATTTAGTGAAGAAAAGGGACTTGACCTAAAGGTACAGTTACCATATTTTAAATATGCTCATTAGGATGCCAGATTTCTTCACAGAATTCCTAAAGAATCCTCCCGCAACCCTTAGGGTATAGAAAGAAGGTCCTGCACTTAAAACAAGTATTTATTTAATTCAATGTACATCAGACAATGTGGTTTAATACATAGAATAAAAAGGTCTTGGCTGAGGATGGTTAGGAATCTTTGGCTCTGCCTGGGCTAAGTTATTTAAACCATGAGCTTTCCACATCTCTAAATTGAGAGACTGCGTGAGATGATCTTTAAGCTCCTCCCCAGCTCCAAAATTTTTTGAGCCCAGGCGCCAAGACAGTATTTTTAATTTAATATGAAGAAAAAACTCCTCTTGTTTCACCTGTAATTTTCTAAGTCTTCACCTTTCTACAATATTGGCCATATTTGAAAGGGGGGAAAAAAGGTTATTTCCCATCCAGCCTGTCCAAACTATTTTTAGATCCTAATATGAAAACACTATGTTTAATTTGTGACATCTATGTCTGCTCACAGAAATACCGTATTGTAAAGCCCAAATTTAGCTGCAAAACTCAATGAAAGAAAAGGAAGCAAAAGAAAAGTACACAAGCGTTAGGCATACTAAACATTTTATACAAACGAAAACATGTTTTAAACTTTTGGATAGTCATACTTTTATGTAACACTTTAATATATGCTACTTCTGACACTTTTGTGCAAATTCAAAAATATTTCTCCCATTTCCTCTTTCTAATTGAGATGCAAATATTATACATAATAGAACTATTTTTAAAAAATTTCAAGTGACAATCAACAATTTCATTTAGAAGCTCTAAGTTTCTGGGATGATGCTGACTGGTAGCAAGCTTTCCAAAAATGCCTTCTAGATTGTCCACCTTTGTAATGGTATCACTAGAGAATCTGTATCAAGTAGGACATGCCAGATGTTTCACAAAATTAATTGAACCTAGCATTTACTGTTGCTGTAGAAACAAAATAGCATCTGTCAGGTCCCTGTACTAGTAGCTGAATTTAAAAGGTTGGTATGAAATCAACTGGGCAGACATGAACAGCTCAGATTAAGATCAACTGTCATCTTCCAGTCATTAAGAAATTCATGAGTACAACGGATAAAACTCTCCTATCATCCGATAATGGATGAATCCCTACTTAATATCAAACTTCTTCAAACAGAGCTCAGTATACAAACTGGCTGTAAAGAGTTTTTGCCTTAACATTTTAAATGACGATACTTGACTTCCCAAGTCTGTTTTATGAACGAGTCATCGTTAGTCCTCAAATGACCTCTTAATTTATTTTAAATATTGCCCAGATGTTACAATACTTTGGTGGATTAATAGGTTTTTCCCCAAACCTTTACCCTAAGCTCTAACCAGTTTGAGGCACACGTGCGATGAAAGGCTTCATGCTCTAGGGAGGGCTAAATAGCAGAACTAACTCCCTTACAGAATAGGAGAAACATTCATAAATCTAAAAATGAAAATAAAAAAAAGAAGGGGGTAGGGGATAGGAAAAGGAAGTAAGAGGAAAGAGTTCTAGTGCCAGAAATAAGATTAAATGCTTTTTATAGGGTAAAGGTGAATTAGAAATCTTTCTCTTTTTGTCTTAAAAGGTGTGCAATTTTGATAATTAATGGGACAGCCAATAGATACTCTTATAAAGAGGATTGTGAAAAACAAATTATTTGAATGAATCACATTTACTAAAGGGGACACAAATGGGCTCAATGATTAATTTTCTCAAGTCTAGAATATTATTAACCTTCACCTAGACAGAAATCACGTGAAGCCTGAGGCCAGCTAACTTCAATCAGAAAGGCACTATGCAGCCATTTTGTATACCTGGACCCGAAGTGGCAAATAATCTTCACAGAGATCATCCCACAGCTCCTGGAGGTCTGAAATCTCCAAGGGATAACTCACGGATGTCTTGTAAAGGGGTTTCAAAGACCTGTTAAGGAAACCAGAACTAACTCCATCTGTCATGATATGGCCAGGCCTGGTTCCAGGTGGGCTGGATTTCACTGGAATAGGAAGCTTGCTCCCTCGGGGGCTCTGGATGGGCTTATAATCAAGACCTTTAATCATGCTAAGAGCTAGCTCCAGCTTGTGGTTACACATATGCCGTGGGGCCTGTTCATCTGAACAACAGTCACATTTTACAAGCTCCTTTGCACTTCTCTCAGGTTCCTCTTCCTTTTGCTGTGGAGGACTAGCCTGGACACTTGCATCCAAAGATTCCACAGAGGATCCCGGTGTCCCTTCTTCCATGCTTTCTCCATCTGGGGGTACCTTCACACTTGGTAAATCCGGTGGCCCAACCTCAGACAATGCTGGTTCTTCAGTGCAAATGCTGGTGGACCACCTGGTAGAAGGACCATACGAGATACTTTTTGCCACTTTTCGAGGCACCTTACAAATGGCTTCATAGTCTGAATCAGCAACCCGCAAAGCTGCACAACCACGGCATCTCCTGGGTCGGTTTCCGGGGCCTTCCGAAGCATGACAGCTGTGTAGCTCCTGAGTCTGATCCTCATTTTCTACCCAGCACTCAAACCCTGAATAGGCAAAGTCCTCCTGGAGCAGTGCAGAGTATCTTACATCGGGTAAGCCGGAAATGTCAACCGTTCCATTCCCTGCCTTGGTCTCCGCGCCAGTGTCATCGTTATTCTTCCGATACATGCTAGCAATGCAGAACTTGAGGCGGTCCTTCTCCAGCAGCAGCTTCTGCAAGCGCTCGATAGAAAGGGCTTCGATCCGGGCAATGACGGTGTCGAATCTATAGATCCGATCAAGCATGAAAGCACACTTGCTGCAAGCAAACTCAGCTTTGCCATCCCGGGAGACATCCTTGCCCAGGACGTGCGACAGAAGAACCTGGAGGTTGAGCTTGGATGCCGTGTGGAAGATCCAGCGCCGCTGGTTTCCGCACAGCTCCCGGGCACAGATCCTGCAAATCTCCTTCATCTTCCCTCCTGCGGTTGCCGAGCTTCCCTGATGCGGCTGCTGCTCGGTGATCACTCACTGGCGCTTGGTTGCGTTCCGTCTCCCGCCCCGGTAGCCTCCGACCGGCATGGCACAGCCCGATGGGGTCCCCACTCTACAGAGGCGCTTTGCTGCCACCCGCGCGCGGACTCTGGGTACCAGAGTGGTCAGCCCCGCCCCTCGGGGAGGGGGCGGGCGAGGAAACACTTCAGGGGGGCGGATGCTGAGTGACATCAGCGCAGGCCGCGCTGAGAACCTGCCATGTCTCCTCCAGCTGTCTCTCCCACCAGCCGTGGTGTCCTCAATGTCCTCCCTTTCAGCTGGCTGGGTTCGCGGTCCACAAGCGGCCGCCCGCGGCTGACGCAAAAACTCAGAGATTGAGGATCAGATTTCAAGATGGCGCCAGAGGCTCGGCGCCTGCGGCCACCGGCAAACTCCTCTGGGAGCTGTAGTCCAGGAGGCCGGCTCCTCGTTCTGCGCATGCGGGGTGGCGAGCGCGTCCCCTCGCCCCCAAACGACTTAGTGCTGTTCGCGGTAGAACACAGACCTGGCTAGCAGTGAGTACCGGAGTGGAGAGCAGGACGGATGGCGACCTCTGCTAGGCCACTTTTATCTGCTAAAATTTCACCCCAAAAGCGCACCAGTTCCCTCACGGATCCTCCCTTCCGCCCTTGCGGGATGTCCCAAAGCTCTGCTTGGGGAGGAGAAAGCTGAATCCCCGCCCCCTCTCTCCACGGGTAGTGCCACGTACTCTGGATGGAGCAGCCTGGCAGCGCCACTAGGTACCGCTGCGCGCCGCCTCCCTCCCGCCTGCAGCCCCCGTCTCCTCTCCCTACCCAGTCTGGTGCCTGGATTAAAAGGCCCCAGGTCTTCACAAGCGGCCAGGGAGAATGGGTTGATAAACCGGAGGTGGCAGGTAGGGCGGATTTTAGGAGGCTCAGTTCAACCTCCCACTCGACTGTTGGGAGCACCTAGAAAAGAGGACAAGTGTTTCTCTCCTCGTGATGTTGCGGTTTGAGTTTAGCAGTCCTGGATGATTTGCCCTTTTTTAGAAAAGAAATCGAGAGAGGGCACAAAGCAGTCACCTGAGAAGGAGTCCAACAAAAGCCACATGAATGCAGCTGGTTAACCAAGATTTTGATGATAACAGAGAAAATGAGCTTTTTCAAGAATATAGACATCTGAGAGTAGATTGCCATCACCGAATCCTCTTTCAGGTTCAGGTAGACTGTAGGCCTTATTTTGGGGGTGGGGAGGGGAGACAAACACTAGAACAAAAGGCCTTATTTATTTGAGCAAGAGTCCAGGGTATCAGAGAGTGCTGCTGTCTGCAGAAGTGGAGCTGGGAATTTCACTGACTTCAGTGAGTATCTTGTCTTATTCAGCATCATCTAGTAGTAAGTCACCCAGCCTTGGGTACAGAACTTAGATTGCACACAAAGAGTGGAGGGAAGCTGGAGCTCTCTCTAGGTGGAATCGAGGTGTCAACGTCCGTTTATAATAAACAATTCTCTCCCTGGCTTGAGAGGTATGCAAACTCCAGATGGGAGGAAAAACAGTCCCACACAATCATCTGGAGTTTTCCCAGAGCAGGACGTTTCCCAATTACAATAATGCTAGATTTCACTAACTTGACTTTGTGAGATAATAAGGCCAGCAACAGTCAAAGTATTTCTGACCCTCATCTCCAGGGCACAGCCCATACTCCTAAACCTGGAGACATTCAGATGCCTTCGATGAAAGCCCATAATTAACCCCCAACTTCTTATTGAGCATTAAATGAGATGATTTGGGGGAAGTGCTTTAACAGATTTTGGCTCATATCATGTCAATAATAATAGCTAATATTATTTTAATATAATGCAATATTTTAAAGTAATTTTAAAGCTTTACGGGGCTCTGTACACATAAAATTGTATCACTCTCTTATTTAATCATCAAAACAAAATCTTAGTAGCTCCATCGTGAGAGATTAGAACAGCCCTTAGAGCTTTGGCTTTAGTAGGCTACAGAACTTTGCATCTGTGATTTCACCTAAAGAGGCATGTTCTGGTCCCAAAACCAAGAATGTAAAATAGAGTTCCAAGTAAAACTCACTACAGGGCTTCCCTGGTGGCGCAGTGGTTGAGAGTCCGCCTGCCGATGCAGGGGACACAGGTTCGTGCCCCGGTCCGGGAAGATCCCACATGCCGCGGAGCGGCTGGGCCCGTGAGCCATGGCCGCTGAGCCTGCGCGTCCGGAGCCTGTGCTCCGCAAGAGGAGAGGCCACAGCAGTGAGAGGCCCTCGTACCGCAAAAAAAACAAAACAAAACAAAACAAAACTCACGACAGGTGCATTTTTGCCTATCTCTAGGTATTATCTCTAGGTATATGAGCTTCAGAGTCAGAAGAAATTAAGTAACAATCGTAACAATCTTTGGAATCCATAGTGATCTATAGAGAGGCAAGGAGTTTCTGGCCTGCCAGGACACTACCCTAAAGAACAGCAAGGACTCAAAAGTGCAAAAAGTGCAAATTAGGACATTAATCAAGGCCTCATCTTTGAATGTGGATGGGAGCCACGTTTTCCTTTTGGGGAAAATGCTAATGAAACAAAGTAATTAATGAAACAAGTGCTCCTGGGGAGCAAACTCTAAATAATACTTTGTATTATTCTGTATTCCTTAATAAGATTTTGCACCTGACCTGTAGTCTCTAAACTTTAATGACAACATATGGGCAGTTGGTATACAAGAGCAAGTCAGTACAAATGGAGAAAAGGCAACTTACTATTGAAGAATATGTTTGTAAAGAATATGTAAGTAAAGATCAACATACTGAAAGAGCTATACATACATATCTAGGCTTCCAACAGATAGAAATAAATCACTCAACAATCAAAGAAAATTTGAAGACAGCACTCTTCACTCCCAGAGAACATAAAGACCATATCTCAAAACAGATAGTAAACTAGAGTACTAGAACCACTCCTAAATATGACCATTTGGTTCTATAAAACTAAAAGATCACTTTTGTACATATCAATTGAAAATAAAAATTAAAAAATTAAACAAGGAAAATTATGTGATAATAAATTCAGCACTTCATGGTTTATCAATATCATCTTGGTCAAGATTTTGTATTTAGTCAACACTGGCTATCTATGGGGAGGCAAGAAAATGGGGAGCTAAACAGCAACATTTACTTTTTTTTTTTTTTTTTTTGCGGTATGTGGGCCTCTCACTGCTGTGGCTTCTCCCGTTGCGGAGCACAGGCTCCGGACACGCAGGCTCAGTGGCCATGGCTTACGGGCCCAGCCACTCCGCGGCACGTGGGGATCCTCCCAGACCGGGGCACGAACCCGCATCGCCTGCCTCGGCAGACAGACTCCCAACCACTCCGCCACCAGGGAAGCCTGCAACATTTACTTTTATTCTATATACCATGTATCATTTGAATTTGGGGCAATGAATGTATATTCATATATTATTTTTAAAATGTTTTAAAATTAGGAAATATTCTATAGTTAAAACTAAGAATTGTGCCAATTTAAGGCACTTATATCAGAGTCTGAGTGTTAAAACTTGAACCCTAAAAAATGAAAACTTTTATAATATGTGATAAATATATATATGTGGACAACTCATATAAACAAAGGTTCAAGGGGATATACAAGTTATTAGTGATTATGTCTGGAGAGTAGAACTATGGATACTTATTTTCTTCTTTCCTCATTTGTATTCTAAAATTTTCTATAAGCATGTATTGATTTTGTGATAAGAAAAATAAATGTGTTACTAAGAAGAAGATAAGATTAACACATTTTGATATGTTCATATAATGTAATATTAACCATCAATAAAAAAGAATGGGGGCTTCCTGGGCTTCCCTGGTGGCGCAGTGGTTGAGAGTCCACCTGCCGATGCAGGGGACACGGGTTCGTGCCCCGATCCAGGAGGATCCTAATACTTAGGAATCTTGTTCCAAATGGGCATATAGTTCTCTAAATTCAACAATTTTGCACATAGTTCTTAATGGTAGTATTATTATGGTAGGGATCTTTTGCACTATCTCTATTTTGATCTCTAGATTTGAGGGCCCAGGAAGATTCTCTTCGAACCGTAGCTACTTTTGTACTCCCTGTGTTGTAGTGTTTCTAAGCCCTAATTCTGGGCTGGGAGGGTGTTTCCAGGAGGTGAAAAATCCCTATGTCCCAAACCAGTTGTATTAGCTTTCCTTATCCTAGTTATGATGTTGCAAAGAGCTGTTCTAATTACTAAAAACTATGCCACAGGGGGTGGGGGGAGTGATTCTGGCAGAGAAGCAAAAGCAGATGAGGAAATGCAAGAATATCAAAGTAAAGCCAGTTAGGCTTTATGGTAACACCACAGCATGTTCATGATTTCCCTCTGTTGGTTGGAAATCTTTAAGAAGCCAGAAACAATCATGCTTTGCATTAATTAATAGCACAGCATTTCAAAACACTTGTTTTAAAACTGGGAGATTTCCAGTTCAACTACAGATTGCTATAATATGGTTATCAGCAGAATTGATTTTAAAATAGTAAACACTGCAGTCTTTCAAGTTATTAAATATCCACAGCTGTTTAAGTGAACTTCAAAATATTTGTTGATCAACTGATGAGCAAGAATTTATGCAAACTCAGTTTTGTTTTCTTTCTTTTCTCTGTCTTCAGAGAGCTTTCAGTTTAGTTGAAGGGGAGAGAATGTGCATGCTACAATCAGAATAACCGATTGGTAAACTAAATGGTACCGACAACTTCAACGTAACTGCAGAAAAAGTTAAGTATGAGCTGATACAGGTGAAGGGGGCAAGAGTGGGACTTGAGATGGATCTTAGAATGGAAGAAACCAAGGAAAGGACTCCAGAAAAAGAAAACAGCATCCTCAAAAGTCTTGGAAGTTGGGTTAAATATGATGCTAGCCTGTCAGTAAAGGGAAAGATTTTGTGGGATATCTGAGTGGCCAGGTTCATCCTACTCTATACATCTATACATACACTCTGTACATCTCAATAATTACTCATTCAAAGAACATATATAAAGGGCCAACTGAAAGCCAGACACTATGCTATGGAGGGAACTGGCAACTAGAAATTGGTTAATGTTTGAGAAAGGCAAAAGAATTTGGACTTTCTGTTATGAAGTTAAGCTAAGAATGGCATGATGAAAAGTTTGTTTTAGGAAAATTAGTCAGACAACAGGATGGCTTGGAGTTTCAGGGACAGGTTTTGGGATGGTTACAGGAAGACCTGTTAAAAATCCATTGCCTAGGGCTTCCCTGGTGGCGCAGTGGTTGAGAGTCTGCCTGCCGATGCAGGGGACACGGGTTCGTGCCCCGGTCGGGGAAGATCCCACATGCTGCGGAGCGGCTGGGCCCGTGAGCCATGGCCGCGCATCCGGAGCCTGTGCTCTGCGACGGGAGAGGCCACAACAGTGAGAGGCCCGCGTACCGCAAAAAAAAAAAAAAAAATCCATTGCCTAGAGACCATGCTTCCCAACAAGCCACCACAATGAGAAGCCTGCACACCTCAACGAAGAATAACCCCTGCTCACTGCAACTAGAGGAAGCCCACGCGCAGCAACAAAGACCCATCGCAGCCAAAAATAAAGTTTTAAAAAAATCCATTGCCATTATTCACATGTGAGATAATAAAGGTCTGGTATAAAAATGGAAAGAAACTGGTAAATATGAGAGTCATTTTGAAGGAATGAGCAGCAGGACTTGATGACATATATGCAGAGAGGATGAAGGAAAAAAAGGTTAAAAGTAGAGATGAAGTTTTTGGCCTGGAAGACTGGTAGAAAAAAATTGCCTAAACAAACAGAAATGTGGGAGTTGAGTCCATTTGCAAAAAAAGATAATACAAAATCTGACTTGGGACATGCTGTAT